TAATGTTATTGCCCTGGCATCAGTACAGCATAGATGGAATCTGCTGATTCAGCCTCATGAATAATTACGGGTCTCTTTGATAGATATGAAACTCAAAAAATATGTACAGGACTAATAAACATTTATCAGCAATATGAAAAATTGCACTCATGTCTTTAGAAGGCGGTATTATTTTTAAAAAGACCATTCTTCCTCGGAGGAGAAGCTGACTAATAACATTCCATTAGACTTTCAGTGGTTAAAGAACAGCAAACTTTTCAGAGTGATATGGATGCTAAAAACTGAAAGGAGAAAAATCACACAGTAAAAAATAAATCTGCGTCTTTCAAAGAGAATGACAATGTCAGAAAGAATACATGGATGTAATACTTGAAGGGGTTTTTAATAGCCACTAAAGTGAACATTCTGCTTGATACAAAAAATGCAAAGCTGGAGCATCTTGGCAAATGACTTGCTTCCCCACAAAACCAGAGCCCCATTTTTATCATTAAATTGTTCTGTTATTAAATTTCTCTAACCCTTAGTAGGTTTCCTGATATTTAGCTGGAATCTATTCTCCCAAATAGTTATTTATAATCCTGATTTGGGCATTTGGCAAGTAACTCACAATTATGAGGGTCACAGTGTCCCACAGTCACATCATTGCCATTTGTGATCTTCACTGTCTGTTTCCAACAAACAAAATCAATAGGGAAGCTAACAGGAAACACGCCTAACAAAGATGCAGGATTCATTTAATGACAGCAGTTGAAATTGCTGCAACTGCAATTGTAATCTATTTGTCGTCGTGTGCCGAATGCACCCGCGCATGCAACCGCGCACCCACATGTGTGCCGGCACCCATAATGCAATGCGTGTGTGATGCCCCCCATGTGCCCCACCCCGCCCCCACACATGGCCATGCGAACCCCTGATGCTCCATTTTGGGTCTAGCAGGCCTCCCTGCAGCCTCCTGGGACCAAAAATGGGCCACGGGGAAGTGCACTGCATCCCCCCTGCGCTCCCCCCACACATGCGCACACAACCCCCTACCTCGTGCATGCACACGCATCTCCCTCATGCGACTCACCGTGCATGCATGGCAAAGACCTGAAAATCAGCTGGCCAGTGGGAGGCACGCACACATGTGCAGTAGAGCTGAGCTGGGGCAACGGCTCGCCTGCCCGCAGATAGGACTCTGCGTGCCACCTGTGCCATACATTCACCATCACGGCTCTAGAGCACACTGTTCCTCACAGCAGAAGAGGTGAAAACTGTGTATATCCAAAAAGGGAAGTTAGCTTCTACAATGCTACTATTTGTAGCAGGGAGCTTTCAAATTCATGAAGCTAGCAAAGAATAGGGGCTATATATCTTGCTCATACTTTTTGAGGCAGCGAAGAAACGAATACACAAAACAGACTAGAATAAAGCAAATTAAAAATAATGTAAAATAAATCAAACAACGGAAAGAAAAAATATGCTGGAACAATTACAAAGTCAGAGAATGAAGGTGCCATTGCTGTGGAGGTTGAAGACAAACTAAGGATATTCATCAGAAGTTGTGTTACAGAGAAAGGACTGGTTCCTTCCAAGAACTGTATAAATTCTAGATGATTTGGAAAAGGCCCTCCATAAGGAAATAATCTCTCTTTATAAAGACCAAGATGAGAACATGACTTTTTGTCAATGTTCTTGCTTACTCCTACATATTATTTCAATTTATATCCCCTCCCCTTTTCATTTGGATTGTACTCTTTGGATTGTATTCCATGTAACCTAAGCAGAATAGTTGTACAATGGTGGTATTTCACCAGTAATTATGCCATCAGAATAACTAATGAAAAAAAAATTGTCAAATGTCCCTAAAATGCAAAGACTTATAAAAATGCATCTGTCAACATTTTTATTTATTTGTTTGACAAATGCACAAAGTTGAAATGTTTTTTATGAGTCCTAGAAACCTTCCACTACAGTGGTTGGTTGCCCCCGGTTCAAACCAGTTCGCAAGAACCGGTAGTAAAATCGGCGGGAGGCTCCGCCCACTGACCCGGACGTCATCAAAGTTGATCTGCACATGCGCACGGGCACGATGCGAACCGGTAGTAAAGGTAAGTAGAACCCACCCCGTTCCACTAATATAGAAGTGTGTTACACTGTTAAATGTATCTCCTTTATTTGTGTTATGCTGACACTATCTAAGAATAAAATTATTGATGATAATCACATAGTTGTGCTGATCAACATAAAATTGAAGTTCTCACTTCTTTTGTTTTCTAATAGAGAGATAAGAATATTTGAAAAGCTATTCCAATGTCAAGGGGGGGGGAATGGTGCAAAGGATTATGCAAGAAACACTCTATTACTCTCCAGTATTTTGGATTCTGGTTTCCATTAGCTGGCATAGCAGGTAGCAAATTCAGGGTTGGAGAATTTCAGGCCAACATTTGACAGAAAATATTACTTATCCCCGGACTACAGTTTGGAAGCTAAATGGCTTGAAAACCATGACAGAGACATAGGAAATCCTACATTAAGGATGGAAATAATATATTACAGAACTTAAGCAGATGGATCTGAAATGTTTGTCAGTATTCTTATTAGTAATTGACAGTAATGCACTGCACATTTCTGAAAATTAAAACAAAATTAATCAATTTTGATTATCCCCTGACCTACCGGGATGTTTGAATTACTTCTCAGTTCTTCTCACTGCATTATTAAATGCATCTCTTCTACTAAATTGTTGCAAATTTGATGAGGAGGCAATGGAACATCAGTCAGACTTGTTCCCGTATCCATCTTTTCAAAAAGCATAATACTTCCCTGATACTAAAAAATATGCTTAGTCTGTTTGGAAAAATCCAGAAAATATTTTCAATTTTTGGGGAAAGCTGAAAAAATAATTTTATTCTAAAAGTGATTTAATTTCTCCAACCTACAGCTTTTCTATATAGGATTAACATATCATATCAGCAAATACTTCCATTTTTTTTCTAATGTGTGAATTGTCAGTTTGATCAAATAAATTCTAAAATGTTAGTTTTTAACATTGAGGTTTCCTATAGAATTGTTATAAAGACAGGTAGGTCCTTGCTGCCTTGTTTAACAACCGTTTGAAGCTACAATGGTGTAAAAAAAAATCAGCTTCAGAACAAATCCTTATACTTACTTTCCCACAACTATTTTCAGCAAGATCCCTGTCTCCTCAAATTCTTACTGTATACATGCACTCTATTGAAATTATTATAAACAAAGCCCTTAAGCTCTGATACTTTTTGAAGAATTGGGGGAGGGGGGAAACTGCCATTCTCTTTTTTTTTTCCTACCTCACTTCTGTGCCTGCCAATATAATTCAGAAGCTATTCCTGAAAATCCCACAGAGTTAAGCAGGTTTAAGCTTATTGTTTTCAAAGGACTAAATTGCTCTTAATTCTATATTGATTTTCAAAAAAACATATTGTCATATCTCCTTGGCAGCATGTATTGAATTGTTAACTCCTATAGTCGAAGGCCATATAATAGCTACATTCAGACCTAACAATAAGCTATACAGAGAAGACGGAAGAAGGAAATGGCAAACCAACTCTCTAACATTGCCAAGAAAACTACATGTTGGATATACCCACCAGGAGCGTAGACTGAGGGAGCTTGGTGAAATTAATTCTCATATATTTGGTAATGTTCCCTTCCTCCACTAGTTTGGCCTCTAGGAGAGAAGAACTCCTTTTCATGTTCAGTCAGGCACAATGTAGCATCTAAAGCCCAAACGGTGGTTGTTTTTAATTAAGATATAATGGAACAATTGTCCTGCTTCAGGTTTCAATTACACACTTCAACAGCTTCTTCAGACTCAGATTCAGAGTCTGAATTCTGGGCCATGACAACGATAGTGTTTTGTAAATAATGGTTTTGAAATTGGCAAACTTCAGTAAACCATACGGAAGATGCCCCACCATTTGTCTAAAACAGCTTTCCACCTCAGATTTTGTTTGCGTCCCCACAACAAAGCAAATTGAGGGGGGTGGAATGGACATATTGTCTCTCTCCCTCCATTTTTAATGTGTTTCATCACATCTCACAATACGTTTTCATACAATGTACTTAACCAAACTGCAGTCTGTGAATCTGCACGTTGCATTTGGCATGAAATCTGCCACAAAGATTTTAAATCATCGTTTATGGCATAATACATAAGCAGACACAGCCAAGTCTGAGATACAGCATGGTAGTTGTTCAATAGTACCAGAAGACTATTTGAACAAATGGACAGGAAGATTTCCTGGATTATTGTAGATATTATTAGTTTTTAAGTAGAAGTTTGTCCTCCGAGCTTCCTGCTTGGCTCCGGACGTTTCATTACCAAGATAGGTAACATCTTCAGCGAGGTTTTATTATTTTTATTATTAACTGTTAAGAAACATTTCCTCAGGTTGAAAACCCAAAATTATTCCTCATACATTACAGAAAAGAAATCTCACTTGCTTCCAAGGAGTGAGGAAGAATGTATTTTTTTCTCCTTGATTAAGAACAAGCCAATATATTTGTAACAGGTTTAAGCAAACAAACATGTTTTGTTTCAATAGGAAGTGGTGCCACTTAAACTTCAACTGAAACTTTTCTCTTGTGTTTGTATTAAACAATATAATGATAGCATCCAGGGATAAGAGAATTGTGTTTTCCACTCTGTTGTCCCCAGTTCACAAATACATATAAATGCAAACCTACTCTAAATAAAACAAAGTTCATAAATGTTTGTTAAACTAGAACAAAGGTGCATTAATGCAGACCCATCCAGATATTCCTTTTTGGAGTAAACTGTATTACACAAAGAGCAAAGAGAAGTGAGAAGTAGTGGGCAAAAGAAATTAAAAGCTGCAAATAAGGGTAAAGAAAGCGAAACTTAGCTTCATCTAGTTTGATTATACATCTCCATCTCTTTCTCTTGCAAACATTCCTTGTTTTTACCACATTTAGACAAATTCATACAGCGCCTTTTGTTTTTTAAAATTCCTACCTACTTGAAATAAATGCCTTGCTTCTTGTAATACATTGTAGAATCCTTAGAGTCTGTTTTTACTTCATTTTATTTCCATGATTAATTATAACTCGATCCCCTGGATGCAGACAAATAAAATGCTACATGCACAGAGCCATCCCCTTGTGCTCCAGCCATCAAAGGCACACTCGGAGGGAAACTCTGAGGCATCAACAGGCCTATGATTTGCCCCAAGAGTGGAGGGAAATTGGTTCCTCCAACTCTGAAGTATTCAATGTGCTCAGAACACGTTGCCTCAGGAAATCTGGGGGAGGCGGCTATTGCTGTGTTTGCAAAGGCCTGGCTTTGTCTTGCTCCCATGGTTTCTTTTGGTTCAAGTTTAATTTGCACGCTTTGAAAAGCTCTTTTCAGGAGTCATTAATCTAGCCGCCTAGAAAGTCTTAAACACAATCTACTCCTGCATCCCCGGTTCGCCTGACTTTTAGAGCAACCACAAATCTCACTGAAAGCAACAGGAGCTGTAGGCGCCTCCTGTTTTCCTCACAAAGTGGCAGCAGCCTTAAAGCTGCTTGGAGGAGCTTGCCCACCAGGGAGTGTGTCTTCTTTGATTATCCCTGTGCAGCCCTGCCCACCTCTAGGACATTTATTACACTCCAACTGCCTGTCAAGCTTCGGCTCGAAGTCCAGCATGCCAGAGCCCTCAGATGCTACTGTGCCATGAGCTGGCATTGGAGGCCTATTTTCCCCCTACACCTGACTTTTTCAGATTTTATCATTTATAAATTGTTAGATTTCTTTTTATCCGTTTATTAAGTTATAAGTAACTAAAGCAATGGTGAAATGTAAAATTTGTTACTACTGGTTCTGTGGACGTGGCTTGGTGGGAGGGGGTTAATGTGACTGGGTGGGTGTGGCCATTTATTTTTTTTACTTTTAAAAGCATTTTTTTCTACAACGTTAAGAGGTTCTACAACGTTAAGAGGAAAAAAATGCTTTTAGAAGCCTCTGACGATCAGGCAATTCAGCTGGGATTGCCAGAGGCTTTTAAAGGCTTTTTTTTTTCTACAACCTCTTCGGCTGAAGAGGTTGCAGAAAAAAATGCTTTTAAAAGCCTCTGATGATCCCAGATGAGCCACGCAATCATCAGAGGCTTTTTTTTTTTTTTACTTTTAAAAACATTTTTTCGGCGGAAGAGGTTGCAGGAAAAAATGCTTTTAAAAGTAAAAAAAACAGCCTCTGATGATCGTGCAGCTCATCTGGGCATGGGGGGGAGCAGGGATTTTTGCTACCGGTTCTCCGAACCACCCGCCGCCATCGCTACCGAATCGGCGATCCGGTCCGAACCGGGAGCATTTCACTCCTGGAACTAAAAATGGTGGAACATGCCTAATATTTGTTCTGTCTCCCATTCCCCCCCCCCCACAAAAACCCTGTGAGTTGGGCTGTGAGAAAGTGACTGGCCCAAAGTCACCCAGTCAGCTTTCGTGCCTGAAGCAGGACTAGAACTCACTGTCTCCTGGTTTCTAGGCCAGCATCTTGACCATTACACCAAACTAACTCTCATATTTATATATTATATTTTATTATACTATATCATATTATATCACGTTATAATCATATTTACATGCCAGCAATTCCATTTTGATTTTTGGATTTTGTTTGATAGATTTTATATTCCAGAACTTTTTCTCCAAAACTTAAGATATTCCTTTCATTTAATCATTATCTTCATAACAACATTATTTGTAGGGCTGAAAGAGCCAAATTTCTTCATGAGCTCCATGGCTGAAGAACCTGGATCTAGCCATTCTCAGTCCAATTATTGTACCCAGTGACTGTGCTTTGAAGGCAATTCTGTGAATATATAAAGCTGCCGCTCACAAAAAGTTCACTATTGAGGCACAGAATAGCAGAAATGTAAAAGTTGGAGTATGCTATAACTAAATCATATAAAATAAATGAACCTCATATCCCAGCCTGAATGATATGTAGATCTGGTAAATACTTTATATTCTATATTTGAATTCAATGTTCATAGACCATGCATTGTATATGCAAACAATCTGTAGTTTATTTCTGGATACCTTCAAGAGTGAGAAAGAACACTGTCTTAAACAACACTGTGCTAAATGGATCAATAGTCTGAGGTTTCCCATTACTTATAATTTAACTGAAGGAATAAATGTGACTTCCAGAGAAAGCTTGGAGTGTTCCTGAAAGTCTGATATGTGGCCCGATTGAATCCTTGAAAAGAGACAGTGGCTGGGTCATCATATCGGATTGGGTCTATATGGACCGCAGGCATCTCTCTGGTTTAGAGAGGAAGTGATGGAGATGAAATTATTTATTTATTTATTTGTTTTATTTATTTAAATTTATATACCGCCCTTCTCCCGAAGGACTCAGGGCGGTGAACGGCCAAAGGTAAACATACAGAATACAAAAATTTAACAACAGTTTAAAAAACATATTAAACAATTTTGGCCCAACAATTAAAATACCCTTTTTAAAATTCAAATTAAAATTAAGCAATTGGAGAAGTTAGGCCAGCCCAGCTTGTTGAAATAAAAAAGTCTTGAGGGCCCGGCGGAAAGTACGTAAATCCGGAATCCTCCGTATCTCCGGGGGGAGCTCGTTCCAGAGGGCAGGTGCTCCCACAGAGAAAGTTCTCCCCCTGGGGGCCACCAGTCGACATTGTTTGACCGACGGCACCCTGAGGAGCCCCTCTCTGTGGGAGCGTACTGGCCGGTGGGAGGCTCTCGGTGGCAGAAGGCGGTCTCGTAGGTAGAAGAGTGCATAGAGAGTGGAAGAAGAGAGTGCATAGAGCACTACTGGAGGACAACAAAGAATAAATGCAATCAACCAGAGCTGCTTTTATGACATACTTTATTTTGGTAAACTTTGTGAAAGGAATATTTCTGCACCTTTATTACATCCATAGGTAGCCATTAGCAGCACTTCTGGAGAAGGCGCAGTTGGTGGTTACTTCTAAGGTTCCTATGAAGAATACTAGGTAACTGCTGGATAAAATTACCCAAATTCAGTCCCTTTTAGGACTCAGGCCTTGAGGCAGGTCCCATAGAAATGATTGTGTCTGAGTCTGGCTTGATTATCTTGAATGAACAAAGTTGGCAGGGTTCTTGAAATTGTAAGGTTGGCCATATACTTGTTAAATCCCTGTCCTTATGGTTAGCTAAGGTTTCCTAGGAGGTGGCTTGTGATTGGTGTCTGACAGTAGTGAATGTTTCCTTGAGAGAAGGTGTGGCCAGTGGTGGGCTGCAACCAGTTTAACAACCGGTTCGGTGAGTGCGTGCTTTGTGCGCGTGCTCGCCTAATGCGCTAGTGTGCAGCATTTTAAATGCAGCAATTTGAAGCCCAGCTGCTTACCTTCTAAGGCAGCCCCAGTAAGTAGAACAGCGGAGATGCGGAAATCGCTGGGCTGCGCAAATCAGCTGAGCCAGAAAGAAGGAAATATAGGAAAAGGTAGGGTGGGGGCGGGTGAGCATGACCAGCTGATTGTAGGAACTACCGGTTTGCCCGAACCAGTCCAAACTGGCAGCAGCCTACCACTGGGTAGTGGACCCACTAACACTTAAGGAGGTAAGGAAGAAATGGTTTGTTCTCTCCTCAAGAAGCCATTGCTGGACCCAACCATGCTGGATAATTTTCATCCTGTCTCCAATTGTTCCTTTTAGGGAAGTTTGTTAAAAAAGGTGGTTGCACTGCAGTTTCAATAAACTCTGAGGGAAGCAGATTATCTGGACTCTTTCCAGTTGAATTTCAAACTCGAGTACAGGACTGAAGTAGTATTAATTGCATTTGTAGATAACCTCTGACAGGAGCTTTTTCCATTAGTTTCAGCTACTTTTCTTCTTTTATGCATATAATAAGTTTCTCCAATAGAGTTCATGTGCAAACTCATTATTATGTGTTATCACTTGTAATGTGTTTATAAAACTTAATTTTAATAGATAATCACCTGACTTTGCCTCAAAAGCCACATGTTATGTGGGGTTCAAGCAATAAAGTCTTCCAGGGTTAATCATCCTGCGTTTTTCTATTCTCTCTCCCAGCTTTTGTTCTCACTTCAAAAAATACATGAAAGAGGCAATGCAGCGGGAGCTATTTGGAAAGAAAACAGATGAAAACAGAATTGCATTTGCCCCCTTAGGCTGAGGTACTGTCCCTTTAAAAAGGGTTCCATGAACAATACTATTCATTTGTCAGTCAGCTTTCTGCCTGAGTGGAGGTCATGTTTGGAAGCTGGCAGTTGTTTTTTTTCTCACCCTCCAGGATCCAGGCTCTGACAGTGAGAGCAAGGATTAGATGTGGGCTAGAAGAAACTACTTCTTAACTTCTTATTTCGATCTGATGCCTGTGTCTTTCTCCCTATTCCCTCACCATTCTTTTTTCTGAACCATAAACTAGCCAACTATTTGTTTTAAACTAGCATGTTCTCCAAACAAGGGACTGAGTTGGGGGGAAAAAACCATGGCTTTTTAAACTATGGTTAAACATGTCATAGGGACGTGGTGGCTCAGTGGCTAAGACACTGAGCTTGTATATCGAAAGGTCAGCAGCTCAGCGGTTCGAATCCCTAGTACCGCGTAATGGGGTGAGCTCCTGTTACTTCTCCCAGCTTCTGCCAACCTAGCAGTTCGAAAGCACATAAAAAATGCAAGTAGAAAAATAGGGACCACCTGTGGTGGGAAGGCAACAGCATTCTGTGCGCATTTGGCATTTAATCATGCCGGCCACATGATCATGGAGACGTCTTCAGACAGCACTGGCTCTTTGGCTTGAAAAGAAGATGAGCCCCGCCCCCTAGAGTCGGGAACAACTAGCACATATGTGTGAAGGGAACCTTTACCTTTTAAACATGTCATAAGGCGGCATCCTTTATCAATTCTGCAAGTTTGAAATGCAGAACATGTGGCCCTATGTGGGGCAGTCTGTTTATTCATTTTTTAGCAGCAGAGCAATGGAGAGGAAACCTGCTGATAAGAGCAGCAGGGAATGCAGGGGACATGGAGTTCCTGGTAGACTTACAAAAGGAGGTGGTGGCAGCAAAAGAGAAACATAACTTAATGGCCATTTGCTTTAAAGACCATTTGAAGTTACAATGGATCTCCCAAGACACTTATGATCCAATTTTGAAGTTCCTATGGCCCCACCACTCCACCCCATGGACATGTAATCACACATGATCACATCTTGAGCGCTTGGCAACTGGCTTATGGATTTATGGCTGCTTCCCATTGTCACATGACCAACATTTTCAATGCTTTTTTGCCAGTTTTCAGTGTTTACTTCAGGTTTCGGGGGGGGGGGGACTTCCCAAAACCTCCCATTGGGTATAATAGGATTCTTTTAATGACTGAGGCGTTTGCTTCAAAACTGACACAAAACGTTGTAAAAATCAGGCACAATTAAATTGGTAGTGGCCAATTTAACAACTGCCATGACTTGTAACTGTAATTTGGGGCTCTATTAGGGTTGTAAGATTACTGTCTGTATACAGTAGTCAAAGAGGCAAAGGATACTGTAAACA